CCAATTACATGAGATTGGGAATTTAGGAAATGTTAAAAAATCAAAGTTAACACTGAAGAATTAAATAGTGTACTTAATTTATGAATAAGTCCACTGAGAAAGTATTCAAAGAGCAAAATGGAAGCTCAGTTGTTGAGCTCATGGTTAACAAGCCTGAGATTCCAGGTCCGATCCCTAGCACTAAAAAATTTCAAAAAACAAAAGGAAAGTTAATGCCTTTATATGACAGATTCCCCCCTGCCCCCCCCCAAAAAAAAAAAAAACAGCTTATTTAATGTAATTCTACACTAAGATTACAGATCTTTTCATTTAGGGAAAATGTTTCATTTATTCTATCAGCACAGATTCTTTGCCCTTTTGAAAAATAACTGTCTAATGCTAATTTCTGAGTGAAGGAAATGACTTTTCAGGGGGTTTCTCCCCTTATATGTTATTCCTTTTCTTATAATATGGCCATTTGTAGAAAAGCATTTATTATTCAAGAATATATGTGATATGAAATAAAGTTATAAACCTTCAATATCTTTCAGTAATATTTGGTGTTTAAGTGTAGGTTGTAGTTGTATATTATTGAGTTTATTTTCACCACTAATGAGGAACTCCTACCAACTATTGATACCATCTCATATGGTCCAGTAATGAATAATTTTAGCATAGAATTGTTAGATTACAGGTGTAACCTGTATTCAAAGCAGATTTGCTGTAAAGGATGGACTATAATAAAGGACACAAGATAATTAACTTTTTGAAACCATATTTTCACTCATTGGTAAGATAAGTTAAACAATGTCAAATAATAATGTTCAAGTATTTAAGTATATTAAGTACATTAAAAGTGAATACATTTAAAAGTGATCGGAAACTATAAAAAGTCTTTATAAAGATGGAAAATAGTACTTATGTTAAATAGTTAAGTTGATGTGGTATATTTTATGGAGAGAGTATGCATTAAATTTTTTTTTAATATTTGGAGACATTATAGAGAAAATAATAGATTATTCTTCAATGAGAAAATTGACTGAGATGAAGTTATGATAAAAGTATATTTTAAATGCTCAAAACATGGTGATTGAAAATGGCATTGCCATATATCTCTGTGCAGTACGTTAGGTATCTTAATGACAGATAGTAAAGTAAGTAAAATAGTAGAAGAGGAAAATTCTCTATATCTCTTCCAGCACTTTTATTATACCATAAATTAAATATTTTAAATATTTTTATAGTGACTTCCAATAATGAGTGATCTCACACTCTATTGCTTCACTTATACCTTGATGTTTTTCATGATTTTTATAATATCCAAATTATAGTTGCCTGTGAGTAAAATGGTTATAAGCCATACTGGCTATTGTACTTCAATTGGACATAACTTTCCCATGTTCATATATGACTATATTGCCAGTGAAACTCCACATCATGTACAACCACAAGAATGGGATCCTAATGAGAAGAAGTTATATTAGTGTATGTATAATATGTCAAAATACATTCTACTGTATATATATATATATATATATATATATATATATATAGAGAGAGAGAGAGAGAGAGAGAGAGAGAGAGAGAGAAAATAAAAAATAATAGTAGCATAGATATTAAAATTATTAAATGTTTCTGGATATTTGTCCTTCACTGTCATTTTTCAGTCATAAATAATTATGAAATAAAGTGATTATTTCCTGCATACTACATTAATGAATGTGTGCTTCATGGAAATTTTCATTTAATAGTAAAAATATTGAGAATCTTATTAGTACATCTTTGGCTTATATATTAAAAAATATGGCCACTAAGGGTATACTTTCAATCCAATAAGAAATGAAAATCTGCACGTTATATTCTTAATGTGGTGTAATTTTCTATGAACAAGTAAAATGTGCATATCATTTTCTTAGGTAATGTATTTAACTTATAGTTAAATCTTCTAAGAGTGTTCAAGCTGCAAAATGTGAAGCTGAAGCAATAATTCAAATAAAAATTACTGTTTTCAAATATATGTTTTTCAGAATAGATATTCAGATCTAATTATCTAGAAAATGGTCTCAAATCTATATTTCAATTTCAGTTTTATAAAAACATAAAAATTAAAAAATCTTGGAAGACTTTGGGATTAATGATGTGTTCTCTTCTGGTCCTGGGCAACCATGATGAACAGATTGGTGAAATGGAGGGGACTAGAATTCTGAGAAAATATGAGCTTATCTTAATATATTGATAATTTAGAAAGAGAATGCCTTATAACTCATGTTTTGACCTTTGATTTTAAGGAATACACATAAAATAAAAATAAACTTGAAATTCTGAAAGGTAAATCCTCTTCTGAGCAAGAAGGGATTCTCTAATAAAAAATGATAATGAGTTTTTAAAGGTTGGACAATAATAAAGGACACAAGACAATTCTTTTAGCTTTTTGAAATAGTATTTTTGCTTATGGATAAAATAAGTAAATAATGTGGAATAATAATATATATGTAATTATGTATATTAAGTATGGCAGAAAATGAACATATTTAAAAGTGATATAAAAAAACTAAAAGGCTGCACAAAAGTTTGTAGTGTGTTGATTTTCAAAATATATCATGTGTGAAATACATGAGGGCACATAACCAAAAATGAGTTCAGAATGAGGATCTAAACCAAGAGTGTGATAGAAAAATTAAAGCCAAGAATAAACTAAGGGGTGGGTGCTGATAATAATTCTAAGAATGCACTTCTCTCTTACTTTCTGAGTGTGTGTGTGCATGTATCTGTGTGTGTATACATATATATTTTCATATATACACATAAATGAATATATAAATTTTACAAATATATGCATAAATGGAAATATATGCACATATTGCACATATATGTACATACAGAGGAGAACAATGATTTCAGTGTATATAAACAAATATAATAGAGATCTTTTTGTTTAGAGTAGATAAAAAATGTTAAAAGCAAACAAAAGCAAAGAACAAAATCTTATTAAAGTGTGTTTTTTACAGCATTTTCCCTCCTGACGAGAATAATCCCAAAGTTTGCAGAGAAAAAATTTGAAAAAGTGGGAGCTAAATATTGAAACCTAAGGCAGATCAAGAGATAAGCTGCCTGTTTTCAAGTTTGAACATCATTGCCCAGGTAATTTATTAGTTACTACAGTGATAACTTTTGCAATTATTAAAAAAGATGCCAAAAAACAAGAAGTTACACTTTCCTTAAAAAGTGAAATAGTTCTGAAAACTGCATCTCTGGTGAACTTAATGATTCTGAGCAAAATTTTAGCAATTAGAGAACACTTTAATTTTTGAACTAAGTGTATTTAGATTTTCATCAAAAGTGATCATTAATATTTAAATGGAAAACTATGGATACATGTGATATTTTTATCATTTCTAAAGTAATAGATCAGAATGACATGAGTAGGATATCTATTGATTTAGGATGGTGTTCAATAATCTCTGGTTGCTTTTCAGAGCCATATCCTTTTACATACACATCACACAGATAAAAGGGAAATATATGCTTATTGTTTGTGCTCAATTTATGGTATCTAATTTCGAGCACACCACACAGAGCCACAAGGTAAAATTGCTACCTTTTAAATCTTATAAGGTTAATTTTTTCTTATTTTACAGAAGTGGGAACTGAGTTTCAAAGAGGTGAAATAGCCTTCCTCTTCATACCTGGAAGCTAGTAATTGCAGAACTGGCCTTTAAGCTCAGGCCTGTAGGAATGGTCAGCTGTATCTCCTATGAAGACCAAAGGCAATGCAGATCAAAGTTGGGAAATCACAAAGTTGGGAAGCTCTGATAAGACACTGGATGACAGAATCCAGATCTGGAAAGTGTGGAATCATGGGTCAAAAGAAATATGACAAAATTCTCTTTAAATTAATATTGTCTTAAAAACTTCAATGTCAAAATGAACATGTTCTGAATGGTAAATAATTTTTAATCAATAAATGATGTAATAAATACCATAAAGTTTGACTGTGGGCCATTACCAAGTATGGTGCTAAAAAACAATATTTTATCATATTAATGGATGTATTGGGAAGGTGACAGAAAGAATTACACTGTCTCATTGGTTAGAGGTAATTAAATGTAGTATTTTCAGTGTTAATCCTGGTGCCATAGTCTAAAGGGAACTGGCAAATATTGAATAAAGTATGCCATGGGTATATAAAACAGTGATCTCCCTCCCACAGCATATATAATAATTTGCAAATGTTGCTTCATTTATACACCATTATTATATGGCACAATTTTTATATGACAAATCAGAAAAATCTCAAAGAATTTTGGCTAATAAGGAATTGAGTGTTCATGTTTCATAAGTGCAGCCATATGACAGAAATGCATGTAAATGACACATTGGTTTCTGAACTACATTTTTATACATGAAAAATATCTACTTTATAAGTTACCCAAGACTATGATTTTTAACAACAATGTAGAAGTGTTTATATTAACAATTCTTAGTGCATGGTTTTATATTCACACTTGTTACTGCTATTAAAATGTATATTTTTCTAAAAACGCATATTTTTCAAATCTTATTGTGCTATTTACCAAATGTTTTACTCTAATGTACATAAATGTTGGAAAGGTTCCCTTCAGGAGAATTTGAAGTGTACATAAGCTTTTGGATCATCAGCTTAATCTTCTATAATCTGAGATATTATTTAATGTATATGTATTTTTTTTTGTGCTTGAAATCTGCCGGTATCTTATTTTCATGACTCAGCTATTTAGATCTCATCCCAATTCTTTTCAATTGATATTTTGTAATAAAGAAAATAAAGTACATATTTGCAAATATAATACACACATATACATTTATATATATAAAACATATATGTATATATTATGTGTGTATATATATATATATATATATATATATATATATATATATATTAACTGTGAAGAGAGAGATCACATAATACATTATAACAGATTATTAGGTCTAAACCTAATAATTGTATTTTGGACTCTAAGCCTCTGAGACAAAGTGCCTGCGGTCTTATTCAGAGTTTTTAAAAATAGGAAATGCAACATTGGATCATGTAAATAATGTTTTGTCAGAAATGTCAAAAATAAACATTTTTCAAAATTTTTCCTTTTGAAAGAGGGTGGTTACTTTATCTTTAACGAAGAAGTGATTCTTGTCAACCTCAGTCTTTTCTTTAGGTTATTTCACACACATCAATTTTCAAAGAAAATATACAGACAGCTTCAGGTGATCGGACAAGTTATCCAATTTCAGTTTTAGTAATGAAAGGATCTTAGGATGCAATGTGACTTCTTTGGCTCACATTTGCTTTTATAATTTTCTGGTAAACACCTGACTTCCCTACAACCCTCAGAAGTCCTTCCTGAAGTATTTTCCAAAACTTGATATATGCCAATAGCTGGTCTTTGGAAACACACTCTCAAAAGAATATGTAAAAGTTAGAGTTCATTTCATGAAGTCTGTCTAGGGCTTCATAGTTTATGTAACACAGTTGTGCAAATTTATCACTGAAGTTCAGGAAAAAGTGTTATTTGAAAATTCTGAGAAACATGTACAATAGTATATAGCTAGTGAGTCAACAAAAGAGAATTGAAAAAAAATCAGGAAAACAGAATCTTAATTGTCTGGCAAGTAATCTCCAAATCAAGGTAAAGAAAAGTTTAAATAGTTGTGCTAGTATTTTTCTATGAGTTTCAGATTCAGATGTGCCATAAAATATTAATATTTACTGTCTTCTTAAAGGATAATGATTTCTCTACCTAACATTATAGTAACTTGGTACAAAGAAAATACATACAGCTAAGATGTGAAGAAAGGAACAAAATTTCTTAATTTTTCAAATGAGTTTCTAATTTAATTGATTTGGATAGAATGAAAAAAATTTTAAAAATTCTAATATTTTTTGAAATATATCATACTAGTAAATCCAAGGACTGTATTTCAGGAAAGATGGAAGAACAGAAAGATTTTCCCATTTCTTCTTACTATCAGAAGTCTAGTTTTCATATGTACACATGTATACGCACATATATAGGCTATACAAACTGGATTTGAATTTTCCACAAACATATGTGAAGTACCCTGTATTTCTCTTCATAATGAATCTTTCATCTTTACTGTTCATCAAGAAATAAGAAGGATGAGACAAGCTCAGGATATTCTGAGAACATTAGGTCTTCAGGATATATTAGGGTGTCCTAAGTTGTTTGAAGGAAATGGCAGACACAACTGTCCAGTCCCTACTAGTAAAAATTGAGACGTTTGTTTACTATTTGAGTGCAAATACCACAAAATCATCCATTAGGACCCTTCAAGATTATTCCACAGCATAACAGTATGCTTTATGGAACAATTAAACCAGCTGTTTCCAGAAGGCATAGATTATTATCTGAGAACTACATAGCAGAGAAGAGAAAGCAAAACTTGTGAGAAGCAATCCCCATACAAGAGACAGAGCATTGTCTGATTATCAGAAGAGCAGATCTCTCATTCTGGCTTTGTTAAGAAAGAGCTCACTGAGTATAGAAATATTAGCTAATTTCTGTGGTTCTCACTTTTATCCTTTATAAGATAACCATTTAAACTCCCCAAAAATTATATGATAAATTACAATAATTTCAGTCACACAAATTTTAATACAAAACGTATAAAATCAATTTCAAATATTTTCTGTATATACTGAAAATATCTTTATGAATGAACTATTGGCCTTCTTTCTCTCTTTTTTTTTCTATTAAATGCAGGGGCCCAATGTTATCTGAAAATATTGGGTTTAACTGTTATTTTTAAAATTTTTTGTAAAAGGGAAACTAGAAAAAGACTTTATCCCACAGAAAATTTATTAATAATAAATGTTCAATTAAATGTTTTAAACAATGATCAAGGTTCTCTTTCATATAAATAATTAGGGGAAAGATATTTTAAAGTTATTTTTCCCATAGCCCTACTTACAAATAAAAAATATGTTGTAAAGACACCACTTCTATGTGAAGGTATTCACTGCAGATGCACAGAAGTAAATGAAAACCTAAATTCATAAGAAAAATAAAACAGATTATAATTGTAGCCAACTGCATATTCATAGAGATACTTAGTAAAAATCTATCTGATACAAGAAATTATCACTTCTTGAATAAGTACATATAGTTGGCAACTATTTTTCAAGAATTATCATCCAACAAACTTATTTTATATCTTTCATATGACTTGTTAGACAATTGCAATTGTGAAACTAAGAACATCTAAAAGTATAAATGAAAGTAGAATCTACCATGGGATAATATTTAACTTCAAAAGTAAAAATAAACACAAACGTGTAGAGTAAAATTGTATTGACAATGTGTGAATCAAAACTGATAGACTTTTCTTTTAACATACACATTCATTGCTCTCCTCCCAAAAGACAAAAGTAGCAAAAGAGGAAGTTAGCAAAAAAGGAAACAGAAAGATCTGTTTCAGCAAATGAACATACTGATTTAATTGGCTAAGAAGTCCAAATGCTAATGCTTCTAATAATCAGCCACTCCTTTTGTGTTTTGGTAACACATATCCTCATACAGTGTATATCAAATGGAATTTTTTGATTCACATCTGACATTTCAAAGTTTCCATTTTTGAATTCCCCTAGTCTTAAGTAAGAATCACAACGTTTTATTTGTTTGGTAAGTATAACTTTTTCCCCAACATCAAGGACTCCATGATGCAAAATGTCATTTTGCCGATCTTCTGTCCCAGTATTCACTTTAATTTTTTTGATTATAGTTGGATTTTCAAAAACAATAAGAAAGATATCTCCTGTTGAAGGTGGTTTTCCCCAAAAGTACTCATCAACAATACTGTAAGCTTTGCTTGCTTCATAATTTTCAAACACATTCATGTTGGTGTACAGACTTGCAGGGGGGTTATCAGGAATGTCAAATGAGTCCTCTTCAAAATCATCATCCTTCAGCTTATTCTCAGTTCCTTTATATGAGGAATAATAACCCATGTGCTGAAAGAGAGATGGTTTAAACCGGATCACATTTTTCTGAGCCAACAGACCTCTAAAATGAGTCAACAGCCAATCACAAGGCATTTCTTGATAAAACATTAATAAAAAATGTGCCAAACGTGGGAGATCATGAGAATGATAAAGTTTACCAATGTAACCAAGCTTAGAGAACTCAAGAGTTACCCAGTAAGTTCCTTCTAAGGACGCAATGACTTTCTTGATGGCAGTTAAGAAATTTTTGGAACATCGGACATCATCTTCAAGCATTACATAATAATATGAAGTATTGGCACAAAAATTAAGCAGAAAAGCATAATCTACATTTTGCTTGGAACGAAATTTGACTCTATCTTCTGGATCATTGTAATTTCTTTTAAGACCATCCAAAATTGGGTAATATTCTTCAGGAGCATGTATAACCATTAATCTTCCTGCAATGATATGATGGGCAAACTTTTGTGTAATATCCTGGACCATGACATCACGCCAGGATGAATTAAAGTCCGCCAGATGAACTACTACTGAAATTTCCTTCAGCTCTTCATAGCTGGATTGCTCAAAAATTGACTTGATTGTCTCAAGTAAATAGTTGCCTTTTTTTCGTTTCACTGATGAAAGTCCAATGGTAAGATACCCTAAACAAAAGAATTCAGAAGGAAGACAAATGTGAAAAGGGTTCTGAATAACAGAAAAAAAGGAGAAAATATTTGCCTATAGTATCTCTTTGATATTTTCCACTGAAAATAAATGCATCTTAAGAATAATGATATATGGGCCCTACAGTTTTGATCACTTGTTTATGAAATTCAAAAGAAAGCTTTAAAGTGTTCTAAAGCTTAGTGTTCTCACATGTGCCCATTAGAGAAGAGAGAGAAATGTTTACCTAATATACAAATTATATTTTCAAAAATCTACAAAAAGGAAAGAGAATTCACAATTGAGACTCATAAAGTAGTCTCAAGTAGAAAAGAAAAATAAGAGCAGCACATTATTTTAATTGTCTTTAAATTTTTCACAGGGCCTGTCACATATTTTCACTTTGATCATTTTCTTACACTAGAAGAATTCATAAGTAAACTTCACATTGTTATTTTGAAATTTACATAGAAGGTTAATTAGAAAATAAGCAATAACATATGATATATTTGAAAAACTTATCAACGCTCAACTGTATGGCACATTGTTCCAAGATGTGAACATTATTGTTTTCTTAATTTTGAGACACAAATTATAGAAATTTTGATTAAATAAAGTCATTCAGACATTTAAAATCTAGAAGTAGAGACAGGATATTTTTAGGAATTAAAAAAACCTCTGAGAAAAGCAGGTCACCTCTAAGAAGTGTTACATGTCTTTCTATTGAAATATTTTCACTTTTTAAAGAACTCATTCTCACATAACTCAGTGAATAAAATTTTTGAACTACCATTTGGAAAATGAGGAAATGTTAATATGCACCAAAATCATTGATTTCACATAGACACCTACATCATATAATTTCTACAATACTAAAAACAAACAAACAAACAAAAAACCTCTTCCAGGTTAGACCTTTCTGATTAGTCTATTTTAGAAGTTGAGCTGAGACTTACACATTTTGTGTAAACACCGGGCTTAAAACTCTGACTTCTACTGAAACACATATATGTCACATGATACCATTATTAAACTTTAAGTCACCACATTTGATTAAGATCCAATACTAGCCAACACTTATGAAAGCTTTTGTACATCAGAGGAAGGAGTCTATGCACTTTTAACTTACTTATACATCTTCAGTGTTCACAGCAGTCTTTTGAGACAGGGTAGTTATTGCCATCATTCTGCTTTACATAAAGGAAAGCAGGACCTGTGTGACAAGGCAGCTCATTCAAACTGTAGTTACACTTAGTAAGTGGTGTGATGTCAGGATCCAACTGCACCTCTCTTATGCTCTGTTATATTGCCTCTTTAGTACAAAGCAGGTGGTATTTGTGCAAATAGTCATTAGTAAATTAAACATGGAAAAGGGGAGTTGGTAAAGCTTAGTCAGAGGTGGTGTGACATACGGGGATAAAAGAATCATGGCAGTCTTGGGCAGTTAAATGAAAGCCGAAGAAGACTAGACATTTGAACTGGAGAATTGAAAAGAAAAGAGCTCTAAATTAAACCTAAATTAACTTACCAATTTCCTCAAGTTGATTATCACAAAGTCCCTTGCATAAAAAGTTCTTAAAAGGGAAACAATATTTGTTGTGGTGTCCATATAATCTATTAAAATGTCATGATGTCACTGTGTTTCATTGATTTTAAATTTGTATTTTTTCACACCAAAACATTTAAATAGTAAGTTGCAAATTACAATTGATGGTGTCTTATAGTTAAAATTGATAATGCTGGGACTAGGGTTGTGGCTCACCAGTAGAGTGCTTGCCGAGCATATGCAAAGTGCTGGGTTTGATCTTCAACACCACATAAAAGTAAATAAATAAAATAAAGGTATTGTGTCTGACTATAACTAACAGTATATATATATATATATATATATATATATATATATATATACACACATATATATATACATATATATAAAAAATTGATAATGCTTATGTTTACAGTGGTCTATTAATCAGATACATTAATGGTACACCATTGGATAAGGTACTTTTTATAAATGATGATGTCTTGGAATCTATGAAATATAGTATATAATTACTTAATTTCAAATATTTTTTCTCATACTACAGAGGGATGAAAAGTTTACTCTAAGAATTCATGTCTACATAAAACCTGAGAATGTGACCTTATTGGGAAAAAGGATATGTACAGATATTATTAGTTATAAATCTTGAGATGAACTAATCTTACATTTAGGGGTATGCCCTGAATTCAGTAACTGGTATCATTATAAGAAGAGGAGAGGATACAGAGAGAATAAAGGAAGGAGGCCAATGATAATGGAGGCAGGAATTATCATTGCCACAAGTAATATAATGCCAGGGGCCACCACAAGATGGAAGAACCAAAGAAGGATTTGAGAAATAATTCAAAATGTCACACACAGAATTCTTTAGCATAGGGAAACATGATGCAAGAGATGATAGTCGGGTCATTCAGACCCAGAGTGGCAAACTTCTGCAAACTCTCTGACTCCATAAAAACAATAAATAACCACAATGAAAACCTTATCTTTCTTATTATAGTTCTTATATGGATGTATAATATCAGTAACTAATTAACAATCAAATTTTGTGTTGTTATTGTCAACCAATGTAACAATAACCATCAATGGGGGGCTATAACCTCCTCCTTTGTTCTTATTCATCATTAAAATCCCACACCCTTCTCATGCCACTCTTAGTGAACACTTATTTTAGATGGCTATAATTTGTCCCCCTCTCCAGGTGATCATCCTCATATTGATAATCCTCAAAAATGTCTTTGTTTTTATACACACGAACCTCCGCTTGTCATGTAGGTTGATAGATTTTTCCTTAGAGTGGGCAGAGGGACTGTGGGTCTTCCAGTAAACTGATTTCAACTTCTAGCCTCCAGAACCATGAAATAATAATTTGTTGTTTTTTAAGCCACTCAGTTCGTGGTTTAAAAGGTAATTCAAACTGGTGGCAAGTGATAAAACTAAACTATGAAAATCTGAAAATAGAACAACACAGAAATAGTTAATTTTTAAAGTTAACTTTTCCTTGTGTCATATACCATCCTGTATCAGACTGCCAAAAAGTTCACATTAAAATTAGACACAATTTTTTCATTATTAGTGGAATTTGGCCAGTGACAAAATTACAAGTTGTGATACACTGAAGTTCTTATCAAAGTATATATTAAATTAATAAATCTCAAACATCTATTGCTATACAAATTAAACGTTATTTTTCACAAAGTATTTTATGTATTCTTTAATTTAAAAGTTTAAGGATACTTACGTTTTCTTTGTAAAGGTGTGGCAGCTAGGTAGCGATAGGTGACATTTATGGCCCCTGAGAAATTAGATAAATCCTTGAAAGTATGAACATAGCGCTCTGAATTTAGTTGATGTGTGGATGTTTCCCTTATGAGCTGTTTGTCACCCTCCTAAATGTCAAGGAAGAGGCAAGGAAAATAAATAATATAGAGGGTCATGTATTAAATTTTCTCCTTACACTATGAAGATATGGGTACTATCAACAACATATAACATTAGATAAATCTCAGTCACTGGATTCAGAGGCTGAAGACTACCATCACTCTCCTGATTTCCTACCTACAGCCTTTGTTTCACTTTCTCTCTCCTCTATTCCATTCTTTATATTACAGTTCATTTGCTTCTCTACAGTGTACACAAAAATAATGGGATTCTCTTGATAAGCAAGTATCTACATGAAAATTCCCAGTGCCCGGCTGGGTTGTAGCTCAGTCGTAGAGCACTTTCCTTGCATGTGTGAGGCCCTGGGTTCAGTTCCCAGCACCACATAAAAATAAAAAAATAAAAATAAAGATATTGTGTCCATCTACAACTAAAGAATATTTTTAAAAAAAGGAAAGATAATTCCAAGTACCTTCATGTTAGAATTCAGAATTTTTATAATAACCACCAATCTAAAAATTCAATGGTAATCTATTTTAGTTTCATCTGAGGCCAGTTACCACAGAATTTCCCATATTTGAGTCAAAATAAATTGATTTTTTCTTGTCTCCTATACCATCCTATAAAATATTCTTTCTTAAACAATCTCAAATTAAAGACCACATATAATGTCTATGATTGTAAAACCTTAGGAATAATTAGGAAGATGCAAATGTGGACACAACCATTGGATTTTGCATAATTTATTAAGTAAGGAGTTTTAATAAGTTGCTTATAAGGCCACTGTAATTAAAAGATGTTGAGAACAGTCCACTAAAGTCCTCATGATATAGTAGTGTTTTTAAAAAATTTTTTTAAATTTTTTCAATTGTCTTTAATTAACCTCAATGAGAACACATTTTTACCAAGTCAAGAATTTGTGTTCAAACCTTATACTGGTCTTATGATAGTTTTGCTTGTGTGTGTGTGGGGGAGGGCACATGTGTTTTTGTGTGGCATTCTGTAAGTGTGCTTTTTCAATATTTAAGATCATTTTTACACATGGTAGTGGACTACATTTTATTAAATGTTCAGAAAGACTTAAGTTTATGAAAATATTGAATTTCAGTTTAAAATATGTCTTGTTATCCATTTAATTGCCTCCATTTCTTTGGTATAAGTTCAATGGCAAATATTGATTACTTAACTCATCAGTCTTTATTGATTATACATTATTAGCAAAACAATGACTTGTTTGGCTTGGGTATATGGTTTATTAATATATGTTTTGGGGCAACCAAATTAAGGAGAATTTTTTATGGTAAGGTGTGTCATTTTATGGATCTATTTCTAATACTCAGTACAGGATGTAAGGCCAATCGTGTGCAAGTCATCAAGCAGAGAAAGTCAATGCATTAAATAACTTCAGTCTTGATATTACCTGTCTGTGGTCAATAAAACTTTAATTAAACCTCTGTTCTAAAAGATAGGACAAGATTCAAATACAAGTTTTACCTTGATTAGAACATTCAATACTTTGTCTTAAACTGAAATGTAAAAAAGATGATTAGCTCACATTTTAAGTCTGGCCAGACTGGACTTTTCTTGGAATAAAAATGGAAAATAATAAAGTATGACTAAAGAGTTATAAGGTCTTTTTATATGGACTTTATTAAATCAATATTCATTCTAAATATATTCTCTGTTTATCCAATTATGTTGTGAATCTACATTTGGTCTTTAATACTGCATTTTTATATCTTATATTGCCTTGATAATTTGGATAAAGAAAACATTTGATCTTTAAAAGATTTATAATGGATTTGCCATCTACAAAAGCTATAGACTTTCAAAATACCTGAAATTGAACCTTAGATGCTAAATATATCAATTCAACATCCATTGATCTATGATCATTTTAAGTTATTTACACATAAATATTTTCACATATCCATAAGCAAACCTATGAAAATCCTTAAGACTAAAATAAACGAAATTAAAAGTGGCCAAGAAGTATCTATGGACTCAGTTTAGTATGAACTGCTTTAATAGCAATGTAACAGTGTATATAATCAATAGGGTGTAGAAGAAATTTCTATAAAAATCACAGTAGTCACAGTACTGAATTCAAATCATCATTTTGTTCTTATGAGATGTTACATTCTAAAGAAACTGCAGGATTTAATATCTCTTTAAGAATCCTGTCCTGAAAGTGTAAAAATCTCAGCCTTTTCTGTGATAAGATGGAATACATTCATTTTGATTGAAGGACATAACAGAATATAAAATGCAATGGAACTGATATGAAAGCACTTAATTAAATTCTCAAGTACAAGCTTCTTTACACTTTTCAGCATAAATAAATAATGCACCTTTCACCTGAGTCAGCCTTGTTGGTTGCTTCCAGAGGCATCTAACTGAACATCCAGGCTGTCCCTGGATACCTTCTTTCTGTAGTTACTATGCTATAGTGTGTTTCTCAGTAATAAGACAAAGTTTTATGACAATCATTTTCTGGATGGGAATGAAATTCAATGGACTAGCTACAGACTAAATATATACCCTAGTGGCTGCTTTGAAGATGCTCACAGCCAAGAGGCTAAGTTGATTGGGCATGCAGCTTCTCTTCTACTTAGCTTGACTTGTAATAGTATTTGTCTCTTCCACTGAGCTCAGCTTCCTTTCCCACTGAAAGTCATATGTCTCTAATACATAAGCTAATATACTAAACTGTTAATATTCCTAGGATTTCAGTCCACAGCTGGATTTTCTAGCAAAAATAGCAGAGTAGAATGTGCTGAGTAACTCCAGCGACCTTACTACTTCTAACTCTTCATTTGATTCCTCTGAATTGCAAGAATTATTTTCCAGCAATAAAAAGGAGACAATAATAATAATAATAATAATAATAATAATAATAATAAAAAGATCTCCTAAAATTTATGGTTAGGAAATGGTATCATTATAGAATCATGAGGTCAAGGCTAGCATATTAAAAATGAAACTCAGCTGAAAATGTCAAAAGAGAGAAGTATTAAAAAAGAACCACAGTATATTTTTGAAGTAGTCAGATTTCCATAGATATTATACATTTTCAGAAGATTATCTTTAATAAAATTTAATATTAGTGATTGGATGTTTTAAATATTTATTAAGCCAGCTCAAAATGAAATTTACTTAGAAATCATATGATAAACTAAAAAAATTAAATAACAAAAATGTTATCATTGGATTTATTATAAGGATGGGTACTGATATTTAAATATCACAATTAATTCATTGTTCACTGTTTCTGACTTAACATAAATATTTAAAAATTATTTTTCTGTTTTGTTTTTGATAATCATTTTCAAATCTGAGAAATATATCTCTTCTTTGCACATGGATTAATTTGTAAATATAACTAAATACATGCTCAATATAGTCAAAGAAATTTCATTGAAAAAGTAAGTACTCTTTAGTATAAGAGTTATTTCCATAAATCTTATTTTTTCACATTGGCAGGCTAGAATCAATGTTTACAGTAGACTGTAAAACTTCACAAAACAGGGCAATAGCATTTGATTATTCTTATTGATAAATATTATATTATTTCTTACATGAGATAATGGGTTTATAGAGATTCTGTTACAAAAAGTGGTATATGTTCCATATTAGTGGTCTTATGGAGATGTCAAAATGAAAGATTGGAAATGCACTTGACCTTCTCTTATAAACATAAGAAGTCATTAAATATAGTAAACTCCAATCAATAGCAGGTTCTTGATTTATGAAATTTGATATACTTTTACCAGTAGACAAAAATGCAATTAATTTTTATTAAAAAACTGAATCATTATTAGGAGACTCTTTAGTTAATTTATCATCTTAAATTCAATCAAGAAAATATAGCTAGATCACATGAACCTTATTATATTCTCATAAACTTGAGAGGTTAAAAAAATTCCAAAATTCACATAATTAGAAAGTTTATCCAATTTTCTATGCTTGTATAAATGATATCTAGTCAAATTCTTTCAATCTTTGGTGATTTCCACTATATTGTCAATTGATCATGGATAGTAGAATGAAGAGTCTAAAAAATCAGGATCTTTGCTTGATGACAGAAAAAAAAAACTGGCCAAATGTCAAGAGCTAGGATTCTGGCAGAATTTCATTATAAAAAATACAGAGTTAAAGGAAATGAGATGTTTTACAGAGAACCTACTAGAAGAATCTGTACTAAGATTTTATGGTGGATTCATAAGATATCGTATACTATCTGGCAAAGAGTACATAATTAATGAATCATGCTCAATACAATAAGACATTTTATTGGGAATGCTTTTTATGATTATTGTTATAATATTTCTTGCTACAATACTATTTAGTCCCTGTGAGTGCAAAGGACTTGATTTTCTGAAATATGCAAATAGTAATAACAAAATAAAAATTAGAGCAGATATCTTAGGCTCAGTTGAAAAAAACTGAATAAACAACAATGTTCGTATTATTATCAACAGATATGAAATTATGTGACATTTATAACCATAAGTAAAATAAGAAAAATACAAACTGATTTCTCACTATTAGCCAGAATGAACTCTCTATTTTATATATTTTGCATAAAACAAATTGGTATATTCTTATATACTGACTTTTATTATATATTTTTAAACACTGAATAATTTCCACATAATACATTCATCATTTGAGATCATATATATAATGGTGGCCATTTAGAGCTATTCAAAATCCAAAAGTAACACAAATATTATAACAAAATATTACACAAACAAAATAGCACAATTAGACTATTTTTATCTAGACAATAAAATTTCAATAAGAAAAGTAGAGAAAGTAAGGAATAATACTTGTGAAGCAAATTTTATTTTATATATTTCAAATTATAGTCCTTATTAACTCAGCATAATAATGATAAATAATTCCTTTGTAATTAGATAGACATATTTGAAACACAATATATACAGTATTAAATAAATTAATGCAACATATGTTAAAACAAGTATAATATTGAAAAATTATAATTTATAGAAAAAAATCTCTAGGTAGGAAATATATATATTATAATTTTGCTTAAGCTAAGTTTACCTGCGCAACAGAGGATTCAATTTAGCTTACAATTATACCAATTTAAGTTGACATATGCTTTATTTTTAACAAAAAATAATCAACCTCTATAACTTACCAGAACATAGCTATCTTCAATGTACAAATTCATAAATAGGAGGAAAATGACAAGAACTCCCAAGAATGACACTGTAGAACGTTTTCGCAAGCATCTCATTTTATCCAGTATTTGAAAAGTATGTTTCATCTGATAAAATTTAAACATTCTCTCCTGTAGAAAAGAGGCACAGATTATTAACATTTACTTTTGGATATAAATATTTCATACATATAATATATATAAAAATACACACACACATGTATATTTATTTGTTTAATATCTGTATGAAATAAAGCCTTTACAGAGTCTCACTCTTCACATATTTGAACTAAAATTTCATTTAAAGTTTTATGCATAATGCTGACATATATCATTATATGGATTATATATTGTGACACAGATACCTTAAGGTCAGTGCAGTGATTTATATTTATGTAGAGTAATTCAAAATGGAAAAAAAATCTTAAAATTATTGATAGAAAAATGGGGGAAATTTGGCAGTAATAATGTTAGATAAACCAGGCCCTTCAATGAGAAACAAAACAAAAAATAAAAGAGAAAAAAAACATGTCAATTGTTATCAATGAGATATAGAATTAAAGTAAACTCTAACTCCTAACTTACATTGTAATGAAAATGGAAGAAATCATAAATATGGGTCTCAGAATAAGAGGCACTAAAAACTCTCAGTGGGAATCTGAACAAAGAGAAGTCACAAGTTAGGGGTAGATCCATATACACATTGAGAACTTCTGAGTTAAAATTTTTGTGTTTTTCAAAAGTTTCTTCTTAAATAATTATAAATCCTGGAATAGGATATCTACATTGCTTGATCTAACTGGCAGGTTGACTGTTTGGAATAATTCATGGACTTTAGAAAAGCAAAATGAGATTACAAAATTTTGGAAAGCTAATATTTATTTTGTATTTCATTCCTAAATCTTGTGATAGACTACAAAAATGATTCATTAGATTATTGTCTGTGGATTTTAAAAGAACAAACACATCTGGAAGGATCAACAGAGTAGTGGAAATATATTTAAGCAACATACAATATTTGTACTTTTGATGGTGTACAATATTATAATACAATGCATGTATATAATATGGAATGATCCTGTCATGTCAGCAGAATTGCATTTTGTCTAAAATCAACAGAAAGATAATCTGTAAATGGTGTTATGTGGCTATGTAGTCTATCTGGGTTCATTTTTAGGATGAAGTATTTATGTATAAGAAGGACTTCAGGAAGAAAAAGAGGCCAGATCCTAGATCCTTAGATCTAAACCTAGAAGACAACAGGGAAATAACATCTCTTTGATGAACTGATCAAGAAAGAATTTGTGAATTTCTTATAAAGTAAAAAATATTAGGAATTGTAATAAAGGCTTAACGAACATGAAGAATGGAATTCTGAAAAGGAAATGTTATATGTATTAACCATTCCTTTTCTTCATTTGCATTTTTCTCAAGCGTTACTTCTTTTACATTGTGTGTGTGTGTGTGTGTGTAGAGAGAGAGAGAGAGAGAAAGTGAGAGGAAAAGTGAGAAAGAAAGACAATGGGAGAGAGAGATGTGTACAGATATATACACAAGTACACAAAAAATATGAGTAATTGAGTGATAGATGATATTCCAAACAGTCTCAAAAGTATTAAAAATGATGCTTTGTGGGGAGAGTCTTCATTTTTGTCCCCTAGAATGCAAAATACAACAAAACAACAACAAATCTCAAAGATGTAATTCTAGATTACAAAAAAAAAATTGCTAAAGTGCTTAGAGAATCATGGCAGCCACCTAATAGCCATATCCTCCAAAATCAGCTTACAGCAACATAAAGCACATCTAAACCTTCCACAGTCACACTCTCAGGATAACTAGAAGACAGTAGCATGAGCTTCAATTCATATAAAAGCAAAAATATTAACACCCAGGACAAGTAGAATGGGATTAGAAGCCCAAAAAGCAAGAAAAACATCAGAAGACAGACCAAAATATGTATCACACATTAAACAAATCACACTGGATTACATAATAGTAAAAAAAAAATCAAGGAAACTAATAAGCGTATCCAAACCCTTCCTTTATCTAAAACACAGAATTATCTCCTACACTACCTGTGTCCAGGAAAGTTAAAATAAAAAATTCTGAAAAAATTAAAGAGCAAAACTCCAACCAATACACCAACCAACCAAATAAACAACAACAAAAACCCCAGACAGAACATCAATTTACTATGAAAAGGAAAACAAATAGCTCATTTCAGGTTGGGGGAAAATTCTGAGATTAGGTCATCTTTTTGTTGTGCCACAAAGCAAGGATGCTCTTAGGGGAGGTGGAATGTTTCTTGAGGACATAGAAAACAAATGTGAAGACATTTCCATTGAGAAAATTTGGGAACGATGATGATTAAAAATATGACTATGATTGATAGTAAAATACTGAATAAATATAAATTCTTGATGAAATGGTGATAATGCTAAAAAGAGAAATGAAAAATAGGAAACTTCATTTGCCACAGTGAAGGTAATATCTGCCCGTCTTCTGATCTTCAAAATTAGAAATTAAAAATATTAATGTTCTACCCTGAATTTCTAAGAGAACAATGTTTATCCCTAACGATGACGGATATTTTCAAATATTGACCAATGGTCAACACAGGGCATTATACCTGAAAAAAAGGAAGCAAACACATAAGCAAGCTGCTTGATTTCTCTAGTGTAGTGCAAGGAGGCAGTTTCCAAAAGGTAGGTTAGGGAGAGTAATCCAAACAGAAGCCAGAGATCCTGCTGACTTGAGACAGAGATGAGTTTAGGGAGAGAATGGTATTTAGAATGTGAAGGGCAGAATATTTAGTGGGAGGAACTTAAATAAAAGAGGCAGAATTCTGCAGAAGGCCTCTTTATCCTCAACACTGTCACGTGTGTGATGAAATTACATGAGGCTAGAGACAGAACCATGAAAAAGCAGCAGGCCTCAGAAGTTCTTGAAGTCTAAACAGGGTTGGCAATAATATGGTTACCTATCAGCCAAGTTCACTAGCTGCACAGATCTGAGGAATAGTAGGACATTAAGAATAGTCCAGATGCTTATCATTCTAATATTGGGGCGGAATTAGTTGTTTCAGGACTATTCTAACATATGCTTAAAAGCTAACATCAGGGCTGGGGATGTAGCTCAGTTGGTAGAGTGCTTGCCTTGCATGCACAAGGCCCTGGGTTCAATCCCCAGCACCACAAGGGGAAAAAAAAAAGCTAGCATCAGATGATCCGGTAAGACTCAGTCCATGTCACTAGAAAGTATAGTACTCTTGCCAGCCTGGTAGTGCACACCTGTAACTCCAGTGACTGAGAAGGCTGAGGTAGGAGGATCCTAAGTTTGAGGTCAGCAACCAAACAAGACCCTGTCTCAAAATTTAAAAAATGAAAAAATAAAAATGAACTGGGCATGTAGCTTAGTGGTAAAACTCCTCTGGGTTCAATCCTCAGTACAAAAACAAAAAACAAACAAACAAAAATTACAGCACTCTTTACACTATATAAAATCATTGGAACTTAAGAATATAAATTCAAAATATTTAGAATTCACCCAGGGGATGTAAATTACCAGGTATGTAAAGGACAATATATATAATCCATAGCTACAATAAAACCATTCAAAAAAATCAACAAATGACAGAATTAAAATAAAATGATAGAATTAAAATTAAAAGAAGATAGTATTAAAACTATTATCATTATCATGTCCTTAATCCCCTAGGATTAAGATGTAGTAAAACAAAAATTGTAGTATCATGAGCCATCCATGGGCTGTGTGTGTGAACTATGCACATAGTAGCCATGTGAGGGGACAGGCCTGGCGATGGCTGGGCTGTGTGATGCAAGTGTGACTTCTCTTTAGCTCTGCCTGTGATCCCACACAGCACCTGAGATGGGTGTGACTTGCCAAGATGTCAATCAATATGCTGACCACAAGACATTAGGAAGCAGGACTCCACCCTTGAAACCTTATCCCCTGCCTTATTTGGTGAAGAACATTCTATCTAAACTCCTTTGTGAGTTCCCATATAAAAATAAAGAGATTCCGGGTGCAGGCTCTCTTTTCCAGAGCTCTTTCCAGTGTGAAAGCTGACCCTTAAGGTCACTGAGCTGTCCCTCCCTAGGTATAAAAATTACTTCTGTGCCCTGTGCTTTTTCGCTGCTTTCTTAGCTTAATGTCATAGCCAGCTCTTTTAAATCCAGTTTATCTCATCAGTGCGGGTTGTTGGCAAGAATAGAGAAATGAAGGATATTAAAAACTTGAGCTTATAAAATGAAAAACACATAATATCTAAAAAGCCAATATACTTGCTAGTATTAAGTACAAATAAGGAAGAGCAGGTGTAAAGATGAACTATTGAAGATACAGCGGTGGAAATAATACAAAATTAAGCAAAGAGAGAGAGGGGAAAAAAATCCCATCAAAGAGCTCCAAAATTCCTGATCCACAAAACCAATGAGACAATAAATGTTTTCAGCCACTCAAGTTTTAAAGTAGTATCTTAGGCAACAATAGATAACTTTATATGGCTGTCTATGGCAAATTTGCTTTAAGTATAAAGATGCCAGGTAAGTTAATAATAGAGGAAAAGGAAAAGATACAGTGTGCAAGTATTAATCAAACAAAGCTGGAGTGATATATTAATAACATCAAAAGTAAACATTTAATAGTAGACGAAGGCATCAATTGTCAAAGGGACCATAACTATCCTAAACGTGCAAGAACCAAACATGAGTTTCAAAATAAATGAAGCAAAAACTGTTAAGTGAAAGGAGAAATACATTCAAATTCGACTGAGAGATTTCAGTATTTAACCCTCAGTAACTGACTGAATATCAGTAAATAGAATATCAGTAACTATAGATGATACCTACAACACTGTCAAATAAATTGATCAAATTGACCTTCATAGAACATTCTACCCAGCAAGAGCAGAATACAAATTCTTTTCAGATGCATGGAGAACATTTGTCAAGACAGAATAGTTTGGGCCATAAAACATGGCGTTGAAATTCTATACAAAATATGTTCACTGACAACCAAGAGAAGTTTATTAGAAAGATGTAGACAAATTCCAAGTTCTTGAAAAGTAAACAACACACTATTAAACATCCCACATGTCCAAGAATATTTCAAAGATGATATTAGAAAAATATATTGAACCAAATAAAATTGAAACACATAACATAAAATGTGTGCGAGGCAGGTAGCGAAAGGCTTGAAGAGAAATTTATAACATTAAATGCTTTCATAGAGAAGAAGAAATGTCTAAGATAACTTATCTGGCTTACCAGAATTTCTCATTTCTCAAGAAATGTGAAAAACAAGTGCAAACTAATCCCAATGTAAGCTTTCGAAAAAGGAAATCAGGCCAAAGGTAAGCAGAAAAAAAGATAAAACTTAAAGTCAAAGACTAAGACAAGCAACGATAAAACTAGAGGAATCAATTACTAATATCAGGAATAAAACAATTATCATCAAAAATTCTACAGACATTAAACAATACAGGAGTATTTTGAAAAATAAAAATGGTAACATAGGTAAATTCCTTGAAATACAGAAATCATCAGAGTCCATATAATATAATAATATTAAGAAATATAATAATCCTATATCTATTTAATAAATTCTAATTGTAGTAAAAACACCTCCAAAACTCCATGTCCATATGGTTTCATGAATAAATTGTCCCAAATATTTTTAAAGAAAAACAATGATACAAATAATACACAAAATCTTACAGATAATAGAAGAGGAATAAATAATTCCTTCTCTATGGATCCAGCAAAGCATTTTTATTTCATGATATTTTAGGTCATTTTATGAATAATTTATTCAAATAGAAAATGATAGTGAAAACTTCATTAGAAATATTAGTAAGAATTTAAAGACAGCTAACACAAACATTATTGAAATTTTCTAGTAGGTTCTTGTTTACCATTACCCTGGATTATTCTTATACTTATTATACTCAACACAATAAGAATTTGATGGCTCTTAATTTTGTTGAAGAGAAGACAACCTTATCTGACTCATAATTGCTATACTTTTCATTATTAGGTTTGGATACAGTAAGTTCATTTTTATATCACCTACTTCCCTCCAGTCCTTTTTGTTTACATACCTGCTGCAGCATTGTGTGCTAACAATCTTATCAAGCAAATTTTGGTGCATAAAAGATGAATGAATACTGTTCCATATCTTTTAGCAAAATAGGGCAGTTAGGTTCTTTTCACAGAACAGTGAGATGAAGTTCTCCCTGCTAAATGATATTATAAATGAAAATATTTTATTTTTTTTCTTAAACATATATTGTTCACTCAGCTGTTAATCTAAGATATTGTTATACTGATGCATTTTTATTATTTTTTTTTAGAGTGCTGCTGTCTCTTTGTGTTAAAGGTTTTCTTTTTAGCCAACTTTAGTCAGATGTCTCTATCCCTACTAGCTCCCATCCTTTGTCATGTCTGCCAGGGGTAAGTTTAGCAAGAATCCTGTCTAGTCAGTTCATCCAAAATGCCCCCATCCCTGCCTCCATATCTGACGGTCCTCACTATTTAATTAAGTTCATCATCCACCATCAGCCTCCAGGCATTATCTGATCATTCCAGCCTGTCTTCAGAATTCGTTAGGTTCCTTTATCAATTGCCTTGTTAGTCATCTTCCATCCATTGATTCACATCTTGATCCTTGGTGATAAATTCATACTTTCCCTTGTTATGTTCAGATTCTCTCAGAAGCCACAATGGGAGTTGAAATTCTAAAGTCCAAGTGACAGAAGGGCTAGAGTAGAAAGGAAAAGGTTCTGGCAGAATAGAGGAATGGGGCAATGAGGGGCTTGAACAAATTAATATCAAATGATTTAAAGGAGATGAAGGGAAGTTTAGAAAGGTTAAATGGAGAAATGGAAGTACCAGGAGTTGTGTTCAGAGTTTTTCTCCTGGACTGCAAAATCCCAAGGCCCTTGGATAGTCTACCCTAACATACTGAAATTCATGGCAACTATCATAAATACTGTTTTCTTAAACAATTTCGGTGCTGTGACTTAAATAGGATCTGTCATTGGATCCCTGGACTTCTCACACAGGACCCCAAGTACAAACTTTAGATCCTTTACCTTTACTCCTGGCTGATTGACGGGGGATCCATTGATGGTTTCAACTTCTGAGCCAGTTCTTCCGATGACAGTCTGTTAAGGAACAGTAAGAACAGATTTTGATTCTTAAGATTCAGAGTATTCTATATGAGCCATGTTAGAGCCACAGACAAACCAGGTTGTTATAGTCCTGGGGTTCTCAGTTATAAGAAGTTGGGTTGGAGTCCATTAGTTTGAAAGGTACCTGCTGGGTTGGAAGTCTGTCTTCCTGGCTCTTTTCTTTCAAGTGGCAAGTTGCTTTCTCATTTCCCAGCCTAGAAAATTGCCCATCTCTCTATGGGGTCTCTCTGTTCTCTCTTTTTGATCCTCTTTCTCCTGTGGTAACTTCTCAGTCAACTAAAACCCCTTTCTCAAACCCCTGCTGACTACATACTCCACCAACTCTGTTCACTCCTTTCTTCTGGAAATGATTTTTCTGAGGATAAAGGGGAACTTCAGCTGTTCTTGGGGAACAGAAGGTCTCCCCCAACTGGATCCTCTAAACTCTCTTCCTTCTTACTGCCTCATCTACTTCTTCCTCATTTTAACTCCTTTAATCTTCCTTCAGTTCCTTGAATTATTTGATACTTTTCTCTTCAAACCTCTTTTCCTCCATTCCTCATCCTGCCAGAACTTTTTCCTTCTAATTTCAGGCCTTAGTCACTTGAACTTTAGAATTTCCATTCCCATTGTGCTTCTGAGAGACTCAAGGACCCTCGAAAGCAATTGTATGAGGTTGAGAAGGAAAAATAAAGATAATTGAAAATTAAATAAATATTTAATCCAGATATAGTCATATCCTCCCAAAGATAACCTATCTGGGCAAAGAAGGTCTTAGTTCTCCTCCACAAAAATTGGTAAAAAGCTTTTACCCTCATATAGAGGAAGTAATCTTAATTTGTCACAGCTCTTAGACAAACAAATTGGGTAAAATATAATGTGAGCAGTGAGAAGAGTTTATTATGGTATTGTCTGACTGAAGGCTAAATTTTATAAAGAAATTTGGAAAATTTCTGTTTACAATTGTCTGTTTATAATTGTATGGCTCCCCCAGCTTCTGTGGCTCCTGTATTCTTGGAGTCCCTTGGCTTGTAGCTGAATCTTTGCAGGCTCTGCTTCTGGTACCATCTGTCCATTACATTACAGACATGCAGAACATATATATATATTCTATATTATATTATATATAGTTACATATAATATAAAATATATAAATGTTATATATATTTATAAAATACATAAATATATATATCTCTGGATGGTATTACCAAGTTACTGTGTAAAATCCCATAAAGGATTACTGTTCCAATTGGCTTAAAGATAGATGAGGGCTTATTTAAGCTAAATATTCCAAGAACTCCTAGACATATAGAAACTAACTCAAATGCTTTTCAAGTTCAATGAGTTGACAATATCTTTGTTAATGTTGTTAGTTTAATAAAAGGAGCCATGCTTTTTGTGTTATCAGCATAACATGAACATTTCTTTTACTTGAGTTTACTTGTTGAATAAGATATCTATAAAATGTTTATGATTATAAAAATTATAAAATCAAACTTACAAGATGCAGTAAAAAAGAATTGTTTGATGTCAGTTATTTATATAAAAAATAAGTATATCAAAGACAGCAACAAAACCAAAACAAATTATTTACCTTTTCAGCTTTTGCTTTTGGAATCCTAGGCTAACATGCTTGTAATCTAAAAACAGTTAACAGGAAAATAACTTGAGATAATGGATAGCTTTGTTTGATGTTTGATGTTTGCTGAAAAACAGCTTCCAAAATCTTTTTGGTAATTTGCATTTTAAAAGTTATGCTACGCTAAATTAAGTAACAGATATTTAAATATCTAGACTATTTTAAGCAAGAGAAGTTATTGAAACATCCATTTAAAAGTTTAAATTTATATAGTTTTGGCCTCTTCTTTTTACAGAGAGATTAAAAGTGTTTGGGTCTGTTCATAAATATGTTATTTTTGCACAGGAAAAATTACAGTATAAGGGAGAATAACTCTGGGTCTGGGGATGTGGCTCAAGCGTTAGCGCACTCGCCTGGCATGCGTGCCGCCTGGGTTCGCTCCTCAGCACCACATACAAACAAAAAAATATTGTGTCTGCTGAAAGCTAAAAAAAATAAATATTAAAATTCTCTCTCTCTCTTTCTCTCTCTCTCTCTCTCTCTCTCTTTCTCTCTCTCTCTCTCTTTAAAAAAAAGGGAGAATAACTCAAGCAGAAATAGTGAAATAGTATATTCATAAAATTTGCTAGTGTGCTAAAGAATGCTAATGAAAAAAACACAATTCACAATCAACTACTCCCTAGTTTGCTGTTAAAATAAAAATTACTAATGGCTAAAAATTATGTTCAAATCAAGCAATGAAAACTACTAGAATTAATAAAGATAAAAATCCTTTTTTGTAGAGTGTGCAAGAAAAGTTGGACATATACAATAAAGAAAAGTATACAAGGAATATAAAATGTATTTTTGTTAAGGGAAAAAGAGAATAAATTATTTCTAAAATAAAATGGGTGTTTCAGAATGAGAAAAAGGAAAACAGTAGGACAAAGAAAATGGCTAAAGAAGTTACAAGAAGTTTGCAGAAAAATAATTTTATTTGTGGTCAACTAGGTAAAATTGACTGAATTTGCCCATAATGTTGTTATTTCTTATTTTCTTTCTTCTTTTAAGGATCACAACACTGTATTAATGCAAAACTAGAATTTGTTTTAGGGGTTGTCTTTCTCTATGCAAAAATGAAAAGATTTTCTTGAATTATCATCCTGTTGTTTTAATTTTTTTTTTCCTGGTACCTGGAATTGAACCCAGGGGTGCTTTACCACTGACCTACATCCTCAGCATCCCCAGCCCTCTTTCTTTTCATTTTGTATTTTGAGACAGTATCTCGCCAAGTTGTTTAGGGCCTTGCTTAAATTGCTGAGGCAGGCCCTGAACTTGTGATCCTCCTGCCTCAATTGCTGAGCTTACAGGTTTGTGCTATATAAGGCAGGGCAATCTTTCTCTTAAGAAAAATTTGTAAAAGTTTTTCTTTACCTTTTAAGTAATCTTTCTAAGACAATAGAATTTGGGGTCCTCTCAGAATAACTTCCTTTACATTAATGTTTTTCATATCCTTGATTCCTTAAGAGAACTGAAATTTTTTCACTTCTAAAAGCACAAAAATATTTTACATTTTTGACAACATTCCCTTCTCAAATAAAGTCTTAAATAAAATCTTATTCTCAAACTGATCTTGAGCCTTCCCAGAAGGTCAGGGAAAAAATCAAAGGATTGTTATTTCATAATATGAAAGAGACATTAATTTTTTTTTTTTTTTTGGTTTGCATTGCATAAGAAAACACTGCCAAATAAAAAGAGATACTTTAAAATTTCCTAGGTAACATTTGTATAAATTATTATTACAAAAGAAATTTAGAAATTGTATGAAATTCCAAGTAATGTGTCAATATCCTGGATGTCTACTACATATCCTGTTGTAATGTCACCAGTCATAATTTCAATTATTACTTAGTGTTGTATGCAAACACGTGAACAAATTCGTTAAGCAAATTCCCTTATTGATTATATTATAATGATAATTTTAAGGCTTGGTCATTCAGATATAGTTATTGTTTGACTCTGTTCCTTCTCAAAAAACATTTTCAATTTGTTACAGCTCAGAATGCTTCCTAATGGCATTGTGATTAACTTTAAGACCATACCCCTGAACTGAGTAAGGATTTCCAGAACCAAATGGAGAAACCTATTGGATTGTAAAATTATCTAATAAGTGGAAAAAGATTTACTTGGGACTACGGTTTAGTTTGAAACTTTACTGGTTCTTTAATGTTGTATTTTCTGAATTTAAGGAACTCCTTTCCTTGTTCTCTTTCCATTTGTACTTATAACAATTAGTAGATCATACTTTTGTGAATATAAATGAAGTATCCTTTCTCACTGACTGATCCCTCTACAAGGGAAAACAGTAAGCATTCTTACTTTCATGACAATATGGTTATTTGTGTAAGTTCAATAGAAACCTTTTCTCCTTATAACAGGATAAAATTGGAAATAATGATCATATTTTTGAGGCTTTGATTATGATGTCATATTTGAGAATGATTTGCATAGGACTTGATATAAAGAATGAAAGTTGACTTCATGGGGCCAAATTTTACAAGGTTCTCTTGGAAAGAGTGCCCAATAAGAGGCATAGAGTTTCCTCAGCTTTATAGGTGAGTAAGGAAATTCTCTGCTGTGCAAGTTGGGAACCCTACGATATTTTGGGGAACCTAAGAAGAGAGTTACTGCAAATTAAATCTGATGGTAAGGTTTTGATTTGCCCTCCAAGCTTCAAAAAGAGAATTATAGTTATACATAGTAGTTGTGTTCATCCCTACAAAAATCTTACGTGTGTGGAATTTGATTTCAGTTCCTGTCCTCTCCTCCGACCCTCCCCATTCTCTTTCACTTACTGATGTTTCTTTTGCCCATGTATTAATTTTGATTGGGTCTTTCTGCTCATACATAAAGGTGAAATTCTCTGTGATATATTTATTTTTACACATAGAATATTTTTTTAAATTACATATTTCCTCCTCTTCCTCATCCATCCTTCCTCCCTCTCAATCTTCTTCTAGTCTAGAAACCATTCACTTGGCTTCCATATTAAGTAAAATCTGTGTTTTCTATATTAATTTTTAAATTTTCATCAAAATTCCTCTTATGAAATTTATAACTACACACTACAACTCAACAGCAAATATCTCTACTAACAAAGTCTCAAAAGATGGTTCAGTTGGTCTTTAATGAACAGAAGGCAACCCAACAAGAAGAGACTTAGGTTGTTCAAAGGAAAGAAAAAATATTTCCTCTTTTCATAATCAAGACAAGGGATTGTTAAATATTGTGTCTGTGATGATGAACATTAAGTGTCAACTTTAATATGTTGCTGGATTCTTAGGCAATTGATAAAGAATTATTTTGGTGCATCTGTGAGGGTATTTCTATCAACTTGTGTGTTGACAGACGGAGTGAGGAAGCTTCCACTCTCAGT